CGAGCTTATGAGTCTGAAATGCCTGGAGACCGAAAAACTACAGCCTTTTGCCAATGTGCAACCAACACACTAAAGGCTCATCACCTAGGACTACAGACTGTAGACAAAAGCCACTTCCACAGACCCTTCTTTCTTAAGAGAATCACTTATTTCACAAGTTAAACCATTACAGTTAATAATATTATGTCCACTTCAGAGACAGACATACTAAGTTCAAGTTTCATACAAGTTTTATGACAAGTATCATAATATGCCTCTTTAGATGCTCCTTTTGGAAAATCCTGAAGCCTTTCTGTGAGCTAGAATGTGAGAAAGGGCGAGGAGTGACAGAGGCCTAGGGTAACTAGAAATCCACTCCCCCAAAGTCCAGTCCCCCAAAATGACTCCCCAAAGTGCACTCCCTCCAAAAAAATAACAATGTCTGGGTCGGGGAGAGGGGTGTACACAGAGCTTGTGTCTGTCTAGCCTGCTCAGCTCTAAGACAGAGAGACTCCCCAGATAATCCCCAGAGCATCTCACTCTGTTTTGAAAACTTCCATTTGGACAGCATCCAGCCTTTTGGCTGGCAGGACAAGGAGAAGCTCCATAGAGCGTGAAATCAGACTAGAGAATTAGAGAAAGGTTATTACAGGCGGTGCTTCTCCTGATGAATCACCCCAAAAGATGTCAAACTGGGCCAGCCAGTGAGACTGCATCTGAGATGCCAGGAGCCAGCAATCACAGCAAGTGTGTAGACAGGGCTTTCAGCCCTACAAAAAGTCACAGTTCCAGCACTGATGCTGTGAGCAAAGTGGCAAGAGCAAGCTGTTGTTAAGAAGAGCCTGGCTAGAACCTGCCTCTTTTGTTCACCCTGCGACAAATACTTGTTGATCACTTACTGTATGCCAGGTCCTGTCCCAGCATATGGCAATTCACAGGTGAACAAGGCACATAGGTCCCTGTCCTCAGGAAGCTTATGTTCACATTGGGAGACAGACAAACAGATAAATAACCAAGTAAGAACATTTCTGATGGCAAACAGACATGCTGAGGAACCCTGGCCAGCTTTCTGGGGATCTAACTCAGGACTGGGATAAAGCTTAAAGAGCCCAGAGCACCTAACAGTGCCCTACATTCTCCCTGTCTTCGAATAACCGCTGATTTTCATTTTCTCTCATTCTCTGTCCACTAGCTTAGGTGGAGCAGATGCCACCCCAGCCCCAAGGAAAGACAAATTAGAGCATTCCACGCCCCTTGCCACAGTTACTAGCTCAGGGATGGGCATGAGACCCCAGGCTGGTCTAACGATACTCGATTCTGGACTTCTGCTGGCAATATTAAAAGGCTCTCTTTTTCCCAGGGACTGCTAAGCTAATACAACATAAGCTTAGAACCTGCTGACAATGACACCAATACCGAAGAAAGCAGAGACAAGAACTGGAAGAAGGCAGAGAGCGATGGCTTCATCTCAACACCTGGACTCAGCCATGCCTTAGCTAGAACAGGCTGTTCAGTAACAGGAGCTCATCAGTTCCATTTGGAGCTTAAAACAATTCTATCTGGGTTTTTGTCACTTGGAACCAAGAATCTTGAGCCACACAAAAAGGTGATCAGAATTAAGGCAACCACACAACACAAGAACAAAAGTTCCATCAGTTGTGAAATGACACAGTTCCTGGTACAGGTGATGTTTCAGTAGCAAGTACACGACTCCATCAGTAAAGGTTTTTTCTCAGTGGTGGGCATCTGTGAGTCAGTGTCAGAGTCTCGCCACGAGTCTTGACAATAAACCACCCCTCATGTGTAGCAAATAACCTCTTATTATTTCAATCTGCCTTAAATAAATCACAAACTTCACTCATTAGACAAAAACCACAGGTATACAAATTTCCAAAAGTAAAACCCTGTTTGCCAGGAAAATTCCTTTCCAGTTTGAAAGCTGGGAATGTTACGAAGAACAATGTGGATCAAAAAACTGTTTCAGGCTCTCTGGACTATCCTCTCAATTTTTTTGTAAATCTCAAACTGATCTTAAACAAAAGTCCATAAAGGGTGGAGGGAGGGTTTCCAAATGCTTTGCATGCCCCGCCCCTGGCAAATTATCAATTCTAAATTCTTTTAAGTATCTTAATCTTTCCACCCATACTGTGCCCTACATCAAAGCAAGAGTGTATTAGGAACTGTCACTTGTCACTGGGAGGGTGATCAATTTGTACAAGTTGCCCAGGACCGCCCCAGTTTTAGCACTGAAAGTCCCATGTCTTGGGAAACCACTCAGTCCCAGGCACATGGGAATGGTTGGTCACCCTATGTGTCAAATGAAGCCCAAGCCTTATTCTACCTCCAGGCTCATATCCCACAACTACCAGCCCCGCATCATGCTGCCCCGCACAGTGACTCCTGATTATTCTTGAAGAATCCACTCTGGTGTAGCCTCCTCCAGAAAACTTCCAAGAAGGTTCCCACAGAACCCAGGGCCTACAGTGATCCTAGTGCATGTCACACTACACAGTCACTGGCTTTATGACGGTCTCTCCCATCACCTTATGAACTTCCTCAGGGAATGAGCTATTCTGTACCCCAAACCCCAGATTTTTACTATCAGTGCGAATGAAGATCGTCACCATCATTGGGGTGGGTACTAGCTGTGTATGGCACTCTTTTCCAAGTCACCTTAGGATTTTCTAAGGCCCATACCAGTAACCAAATCACCAGGTTATACAGGCAGGCTGTAACATGGATTAAGCGGATTGCCTGATCCAGGCCAGGCAGCTCAGGTTTCCAAAAAGCACTCGATTGATGGCCATGCAACCTAAACAACGTACCTGGGCAGTTCCCAGGATACTTCCAAGGAACCTGAGAACCTTTACCATTCCCTGGCTGGCAGGAGAATGAAGATGCCCCACTGGGCAGGGAGACTCAACCAAGTTGAAAGTCTTCCCAAACTGACTTATAAGGAAGTTTTATTCGAAAGACAGTGTCATGCAGTGTCATGAGTGCAAGCACTAAAGTTAAATCCTGGTTTTGACACTTTTCCGCTGTTGTCATCTTGGGGTAAGTGAGTTAACCTCTTTGAACCTTAGTTTCCACTTCTATAACATGGAAACAGTAATAGTTCTTGTAACTCATAGACTAGTGAGGACTAAAGGAAATAGCACACAGGAAGTCCTTAGCAAGTACCCAGCACAGAAAATGTGTTTAATAAATATTAAAGTAATTTAAAAGACCTAGAGCCAGGCAGTTAGGTGAGAGCCTGCAGTAACTGGGTGCTGGCAGGATGCCCAACCAGCCTCCCCTTCCCAGCCGCATCCACCCACGCTCGACATTCCTGAAATCCTCAAGCCTCTCTCCAGTCCAGCTGCCTTCCCATTTAAGAACCCTGCTTCCCTGCATACCCTGCTTCTTGTCCTACGTCTCCTTCCTCCCCGTGTCTTCTCTCACTACCACCCCCTAAACCATTCCTCACAGCATAATGAGCCCTACTGCCTCCCACTCTCGGTGACCCACAGACATTTATTAAATGCATGTTCCGTGCTAGAAAGGGCAAAGCTGAGAATCACAGCACCCCCACCCCTGGCCAAATGAGAAGCCCCCATCTAATTTCCTTCCCATCCAGCCTTTCCATGGGCCAATGTCTTCCTCCTACTGTTTCCCCCTTGCCTCTCCATCCTTCTTTCTTCTATCAGTAATCTTGGGAGCTCCCTCTGTAAATCAGCCTATTTCTTATCACCAAAGGTTTGCCTACTCCCCCAGCCAACTCCCTCCCCCAACTATATTTTCCTCCCCTAAGTTATTCCCTCCTCAAAGGTCTCTATTTTCCATCACCACCACCCCCCCAAAAAAATTCCTAGGCTCTGCATTTCTCCCCAGTTCATTCATTTTTTTATTCACTCTTTAGGTTTAGATATACATTGAGTTCCTACTGTGTACCAGGCACGGTACTAGATTCTGAGATACAACTGTGAGCAAAACAGGCAGTCAGAAAAGTAAAAAAAATAAAAAAAATAAAAAATAAAACCAAATAGGATAGATGCAGCTAGTGGAGATGCACTGAATGAAATCAAGAGAAAAATGGAAAGGAACTGGGGTGGAGGAAGCACTTTAGGTAGTGTGGTCTGGGAAGGCCTGGACTGGGTCTTCCCTACGGGTCACCTACTGTGTAACAGACACTGGATGAATCTCTTCCCACATGTGACATTACTGAATCTTTTCACAATGTTCACAATACCCATTTGCAGATGGGGAACCAGAGGCTCAAATAAGTTAAGTAATTTGTCCAAGGTCACACAGCCATTAAGTGGTGAAATCAGGATATGAATGCACATCTGACTGCTGCACATCTGACTGCTGCGCTCCTGCTTCCCAGGACCCCTTTGCAACCTGTCCTCCGCTACAGCTCTACTTCTGATAGTCCCTCTTAGACACCCCACCCCCTGCCCCCGGAAAATAGTTTGCTTTTAATTACTACCCTTTATTGAGCACCTTTACATGCTCCCATCTTTATGTTTATTCTCTTACTTAACCCTCAAGACAATCTTGGGAAGCAGGTGCTATCACAATATCCGTTTTACAATTGAGAAAACTAAGGTCTAAGTTCTCACACTTAGATTCGAACCCAACTTTGTTTGACTTTCAGGATGCAGACCTCCGACCTCTAAGCTGTCCGGTTTAAGAAGCACCACCCCGGGAAGCTTGCTGCCCAAGATCTGCCCTCGGCAAGAACAAAGTCTGTGTCCGTAAACTGAAATCTCATCCCTTACTTTACAGATGGGGATACTGAGACTCTGAGAAGCTAAGCGACTTGCCCAAGGTCACACAGCGAGGAGCGACGGGGTCAGGGTTCGAACCCAGGCGCCCTGACTCCAGAGTCCTCGCTCTTAACCACTACACAGCCTTTCCCGAGAGCCTCTCCGCCCTCCACCTCCGCTCTCATACCTCCCCACGACCCTGTCTCGGGGCTGTGCGCCCCTATCCCAATACCCAGCCCCAAGGCCTCCCACCTCCGCCCCCAACACACTCACTTGAGGTGGTCCAAGGAGTGGATGTTGCGGGAAGACTTGCCATGGCCCCCGCCCACCCAGCTCCGCGAGCGGCCAAACATGTCGGCGGCCCCGGCCCGTCGCTCGCCTTACGATCTCATGCCCCAGCGGCCCAGCGACCGTGAGCCCGCGGCAGCAGTACAAGCCGCGGAGATGGTGAAGGGACCGCCAACCACCTTCTTCCCCGGCCCACAGCCCCGCACTGACATTCAGCCGGAACCGGCCGTTCGACCGTCGCGCTTTACGGCCGCCACCAAGAGGAATGCTGGGAAATGCAGTTCGCCCACGAGGCCCCAATAGAGTGGACTGTGAACCTACTGCAAGGGCTAGCGTGCATTCCACTACTGCGGGCCTGCGAACCTTGAGAAGAGGTGGAGCGAGAGGAGGAGAGTGTGCCGGGTGGGCGGGGACGGGGAATCTGCGCTGAACCCTGAGAAAGGAAATCGGGGAAATAGGTTGAATAAAAGTAATAGTAGTATTAACAATTATTGTCTTATGATATGAATAAGAGTAGCTGTTGCATAGCGTATACCATGCGCCACCATCCTAAGCGCTTACATATGTGTAGTTATTTAATTCTAACACCCCTACGAGGTGGGTACTATTATTATTCATTCCCATTTACTGTCAAGGAAATTGAATCACAGAGGTGTTGACTTGCCCAAGGTCATGCAGCTAATAAGTGACAAAACTAGGGTTCAAACCCAGGCACCCTTATTTTTATCCTCCAATAAACTATCAAATCCATAATCGCCTTCTTTGTCTTCACAGCCTTTTTCTTTTGCTACTTCAGTTAATATACATATCAAAAGGTCCTCTAGCAGCAGTGTACCACAACTGAACATTCTGTACTTTCAGAGGACTTCTCTGGTCTTCACCCAAAATCCATTTCCAAAACTACCGCATTTTAAAAAATGGAAACACTCAACTTCCTATGAGCCAAGAATATGTATCTAAATTTATCTTCTGGATAAGTAGTAAGACGCTCTGTGGAGGTAAGATGACTCTGTTCAACATTCATTCATTCATTTCTACACCTCATAGTCATCTAAGACCTATTTTGTACAATCTACTGTGCTCAGGGCAGAATTGGACCAGGGGCCAATGTCTTCCCCAATGCCTAGCACAAGGCTTAGTGCTAATAGGTGTTCAACAAATATTGGCAGTGTGAATGAATAAATGAAGGTTGTTTCACCTTCTGCAGTCGGAGAAATGGAGACCAGCGGAAGGTTAATGGTTTGCTCTGTAATTTATCTAAAGGGGTAAGAGGCGGTCATGGAGGAAGAAGGGCAGGTTCTTTCCTCCAGACACAGGCGGGCGGATCAGCTTCCAGGGTCCCTCTGTTTCTCTAGCCCTTGGTTTTCTCATCTGTAAAAAGGGGAAAACATATTACATTGCCCTGTCTGGTTCCAAGTGAGCAATGCATGTAAAGCACCCAGCTCAGTGTGCCTGAGATTTGAAGTTTTATTGAACTGCCTTGGAACGCCCTGTGGGCAGGATGTCTCCTGAAGGATGTACTAGTGTTCCCCATTAGAAAGGGATTCACTTTTCTGTGTACTTCTTGGTTGAATGTTCAACCATGTGCATTATTATTGGTTTTAAACATGGCTTACAAAGTACAAAGAAGCAAGAAGCAACCCTACTGACTAAAGGTCTGAACCTGCCTGGAAATTTCTTTTTTCAGGTATCCCTATGATGCAGAACCCTCGCCCAGAGGCGACCTTCAAGCAGCCAGAATTTGGAAGTGAAGGGGGCACTGGTTCATCATCCCCACCATGAAAAATTGACAATTGGGGGGGAAAAGTCCAAGATTTTCACTGTTAAAGTGCACCATCCCTCTCCTACCCCGCCTCTTTTCTCATCTGGTAAACTGAGTCCCCAGAAGGGGTGGCGTCATATTTAAGTCTAGCAAGTCGCAGAAGGAGCTCGTGATTTTCTTCAGTTTTTGTCGCCTTGGGATACATCTAGGTTTGAATTGTGCTGGGTTTTTTCCACTCCCCTACTCCGCGGGTATTCGCAGAGCGAATTGGAATTGAGATCAGGGCGGAGTCCAGAACCGGTACAGCGACTCAGAGGCCAGTGCCCCGTCGGGAGGGAGCTAAGAAGTAACCGCCCCCAAGACGGCTGGGGCCAATGAACGTGGGTGCCCTGAAGGCCAATGAGCGCGGGCCCGGGGCGATCAGCCAATGAGCGCCGGGTCACTCCGGAGGCGGATCTCGGAACGCTACCAGCAGGACGACGCGGCAGCTGCAGTCATGGGCGCTGAGCCTGCGGCGGCGCAAATGGGGCTCGAGGAACTGCCGGGCCGACCTGGAGAAGCTGTCCCCGGGACCGGCTCTGGACGCTGAGCCGCGGTGGGGGTCCCCGCCGGCGCTGCGAGGGCCCGTGACTGAGAGCGGGCGCATCGGAGGAGCGGGACAACCACTTTAGGGGGGCCCGCCACTCATCTCCAGGCGTCACCGCGGGGGCCCAGCGCCGCCTCGGTGGAGCCCAGGGAGACCCTGGATGGCTGAGCTGCCCCCTCGCTGGCCGCCCGGGCGCTACAGCGGCTGAGCTCGCTGGGATCCCCGGGCCGCTGCCGCCCTCGCGGTCCCCTGCATGCTCGGCGCCCGGGTCGCAGCCCACCTGGACGCGCTGGGCCCTCTGGTCCCCTACGTGCCACCGCCACTGCTGCCCTCTATGTTCTACGTGGGCCTGTTCTTCGTCAATGTGCTGATCCTATACTACGCCTTCCTTATGGAGTACATTGTCCTCAACGTGGGCCTCGTCTTCCTTCCCGAAGATATGGACCAGGCACTTGTGGACCTCGGTGTGCTCTCTGACCCCGGCTCGGGCCTCTACGACGCCGACTCGGAGCTCGACGTCTTAGATGGTTACTTGGAGTAGGTCTCGGTCCTCCCACCTCCTCATACCCACCCTTTAGGACCTGCAACCTTCCGCCCGGACCAGCCGCCCAGATCATGCCGCCGCTGCTGGTTGAGGGCACTGCCTGGCCAGGGATGGGACCTTCAGGACGGGGCCCTTTCCGGCCTCCGAGGCCTGTAAGTACCCTCTCTGTGGGGGACAAGGACTGGTTGGGGCACTGGTGTGGAAGAGGAGGCATCTCCAAGCAGGACACGCACCTCCCTGAGGCTTCTGATTAATTCCCTTATCCACCTCCTCCAGATGTATTTGGATGCCAGGAATAGCTGGAGTCCTCTTGGGCCCTTGGTTGGAGTTGAAAAGCTTCCCCTAAGGAAGGTGACAGCTGTTAAGGAGGGGAAGGGAGGCAGGGCCTAAGTAGCCTTTGGATTAGCCAAGGTAACAACTTCCACAGCTTGTGGGGGGAAAACAAAAAAACAAAACAAAACAAAAAACCCTTTGTACCCAAATCCATTTGAGGCAGAGCTATCAGCTCCTCCCCCTATCCTCAGCCTGGCTTGATGATGACCTTCGTTGTTTGGGGATTCATTCGTCCTGGAAGGATGAAGACTAGGAGTGTCACAAAATGTAGGGAGCCAGGCACTGATCACCCTTGGGGACTGAGAGCGAGGGCTCCTGGCCAGGGTCGTAAGAGGAGAAACCTTTTTCAGCAAAGAACCTTGTACTTCCTTTGGCCTTGGGTTTGCTGCTGTTTTGGAGTCAGGTTTCAGGGTGCCCCGACTCAGCAATTCTGCAGTTGGAATCTGCAGGGGCTGCCAGTTTCACAGGCTGCCTTCATAGCAGCAGGGGGCTGGTGCTGGGGCTGGTGCTGGGGCTGGCATTGCCTGCAGTATGTGCAAGGCCTCAAGGGACTCTTGGCCCGCAGAAGAAACCATAGGATCACTGCACTGAGGTGTCAAAGCTTGTCTCTGGGCTGCAACCAGGAAGCTGTGTCCAGCCCCATCTGTGTGTTGGTGGGAGAGAAATGAAAATCCAGAAAGGAGAAAGACTTGGCCAAAGTACCACATCAAGAGAGAGAGGCTAAATAAATAAATAAAAGAAAACAAACACACAGAAAAAGAAAGAGAAAGAAGGAAGACAGGCAGTTGGGAGAGATACGGGCAGACTCTTGGGTCAGGTGAGGGTTCACAGGGCATGTGGGAACTCCTTGGCTGGAGCCCCTCAGCTGGCCAGTGTTCATGTGTCACTAGGCACAGGGCCTGAATGCCAGTGGAAGGCGGATGCTGAGGCGTTGGGCAAGGGCTTCTTTTGGAAAACAGACACTAATGCCACTCATCCCAAGCAGGCTGAATTAACACCTCCCCTCTGCTGCCTTTCTAAGCCAAGATGACCATAGAGGGTGATTCAAGGTGGGGTCGGCCCTACTGCCAGTAGTGCTGGGGGCCTGGGGGTCCCCTGAGGGATTAAGAGTGCGAGTTCTTTGAAGAAAGCTTCATTTGAGCTACTCCATGTAACTATCCAGTCAGCCTGCCTTCCATCCATCCATCTGTTCTTTTATTGAACAAAAGTTTACCGAGTACCTACTGTGCATGGTGGACGAACACAGTGAACAAGACAGACTTAGTCCCCGCTTTCTTGGCACTTGGTGAGAAAGACAAGGAGGTTTGCAAACTAGATAATCAGATTTTTTTTTTTTTTTGAGAATTATGAAGGCAGGTGAGGACATGCATGTTCCTATTGTGTTCGCTGCTGTTTCCTCAACACTTAGAATAGCACCTAACATCTAGTAAGAGCTCAATAAATGTCTATTGAATAAGTGACACAGAAGAATAGAGATGGGCTGATTCAGATAGGGAGGTTAGCATCTCCCCGTCTGAGGAGATGACACATTTGAGCTGAACCTTCACTTGACAGAAGGTCTTCTCCAGACATGAAGACCTGGAGAAGAGCAATCCAGGCAGAGGACTGCTAGTGCCAAGACTGTTGGGTAGAAGAGAATTGGTTCTTCCCTCAACTGAAAGGAGGCTATTGTGGCTGGAGAGCAGCCCCAGGAGAGGACAGTGGGGTGGGTGGGGGCCACAGCCCTGAGCAGTGGGAAACCATCAGCAAGTTTTATTTAGGCAGGGGATGATGGCTTTGGTGATTGTGGGCAGGACGAGCTACAGGGGCAGGTGTGGAAGAAGGGAAGCCCGTTAGGAACTGTTCAGTTGTACGGGTCAGAGGTGACCAAGGCTTGGATGAGGCAAGGTTGGTAAAGATGGAGAAACACGAACAGACGAAGAACACCTTTTCAATGTAGAACCTATGGAATCCATTCAAAACCTAGAGTGAGAGTTGATCATCTACCATGTCT